GAAACACAAAATTTAAATCGTATAACATCTTAAACTGCTAATATTTTGCCTTAAGAACTTCAAGTTTTAAATTATCTCCGGAACGTCTGTCTGATTGAGTTTGTAGCTTAAACTGCTGGACGGATCTCGATAAAATTTGGCATAGATGTAGAGGATAGTCTGGAAGAACGAATAGGCTACTTATTTTTTAATACCACGAAGTCGCGAACTAAAGCTAGTGAAATATATGGAATAATACATTGAACCTCCTTGACAAACAACAGTATACTGCATCGTAAAGTGAAAGCGAGGGCCAAATGTCTCGGCGCCGGATCGTCTGTAGCAAGCTTTATGCTTTAGGCAATCGATATTACTATTTGTTGTTAATAGGGCATTGACCTTCGAGAAACTTTGTGGTCAGCACTTGAAGGTTGTCTACGGCTTTTGGGGGCAAGAAATACTACAGTTTAAAATGACAACCACAAACATATTTTACACCCCAATATCTTATCGGAATTAAAAAGAGTGTAATGGTTTTTATGAACAAACTAGCTTTCGCCCGCGACTCCATCCGCGTGGAATTAAATTAACAAAAGTGAATAGCCGACGTGTTCTTCCAGACTATCCTCTACATCTATACCAAATTTCATCGAAATCCGTTCAGCAGTTTAGGCTACAAACTTTAACAAACATCCATCTAAACTTTCGCATTTATAATATTAGTACGATTAACCGATTTTTCATGAAAAAGGTGTCTGTTTCTTCTGGAAACGAAACATGTATTTATACATTTCTATATAAAACTACTAGGTTCTAACCGAGACCTCGTCCGCGTGTAATTATTAAAAAGTATCCTATATTCATCCAGACTATCCTCAACACCAAATTTCATCGAAATCCGTTCAGCAGTTTATGCTACAAAGTAACGAACATCCATCTTAACTTTCGCATTTAATATTAGTAAGATAACTAGAGAACGAAACTACTTATCCATTTTGTAACTCCCTATCATACTTTCTAACGCATTTATTCTCAATTCATCTAACACATTTTGATACTTATCGCTTAGAAAATAAAGGTTATATTTATTTATAAGTGTTTGATTTAATCTAATGTCTTCAATGAACGTTTCAAAGGAATGCACACATCTGTATGATGTCATAATGTAATGATACGTTTCCACTGGCGAAACATTGACAAAAACATATCATATACCTATTTCCTTGATTTTTTTTTATAATATAAGGTGGCAAACGAGCAAGCGGCCACCTGAATCCACCGAAATGGAAAGCGACCGCTGCCCATAGACATCCGCAATTGCAGATGCGCTGCCAACCCTTGATTGACGGAGGAGGAGACGCACATAAAGAGGACATTTCCCCTTTCTATGCGTCTCCTCCACCGTCAAATCCACTTTTCCTTCCCTTCCTTCTCTCTTAAGAAAAGGGTGGAAAGGGAAAGTGACTAAAAGTAGGCAAAAAAGTGAAAAACATTGAATTGGCGCAGGTAAGCGCTTGACCTGACTTTAATCTCCACGTCTAATGTAAACGGCGGATTTTAAAAAAACAGTAGCCTATATCTTCTAGACTGTTCTACATCTGTGCCAATCGTTCAATCATTTTATATCTATACCTGTACTAATATAATAAAGCGTAAACACACACTACTCTATGACGTAAGATGTCAGCAATCACAGTATATTTTTGAATAACTCTTTCTTTAATGAAAAGCACTACACTTACGTCACGCTTTAGCCTATATATTTTCACGCTATTAAACTCAGGGGTTAAATAAATTGTTAAAAACCCTAATGTAGGAAAGGGACCATAAGCTACATGCTGTCAACATCAAGGAAATAGGAATACATACCATTTTCGTCTTTTACCATTCAAAGCAAAGCTTTTTTTAGTGACAGTTTGGTATTTTAAGGGCTTTTGTTTTTTTATTTCTTTGTCTACAATATATTTAATTTGGCTGTGTGCTTTGAACATGCTATTGGTGTAGCTTTCCAGTAAATAAATAAGGGTAGGAAAATTAATTCCATGACCATCACGACACTAGGAAGTGTAACCGACGCAAATCAATAGACACCATTTAGCTTCAGAGGTCATTTAATAAATTACCGAGACGAATACTTTTAGTATGGTTTATTGTTTTTAAGTGATTCTATTGGTTTACAGTCCGATTGAACTAGAAACTTAAATGTATCGACCTTCTTTATAAAATCACCTTATTTAATGTGAAATTAGTATGACCTTTTACGTAATATCTGAGGTATTTGTTTCTGGTCAAATACAACTATATTCATAGGATCGTCATAACTAAATATAAAAGTGTAACTTTCATACGCGACTTCGTCAGCAGACATTGTAAAACATAGTCTTAAAAGGGGAAAGATTTATATTTTTGCGTGTATTCAAATTAAAAAAGTACTGTGATGATTTCAAAAATTCTTTCACCATTAAAAAGCTACGTTATCAATGAGTAAGACAGGCAACATTTTTTTTACGGTTATTCTTTACTTTCACGCGGGCGAAGTCGCGAGCAACAGCTAGTTTCACTTCTTGGAAACGCAGTATCCCTTAGCGCCTCACTCCTGGTATATCCCCGATTCCCATACAATTACAATTACAAGGAATTACGCGCCTGCACACCCGATGTCCCAGTTACACACGTGTTGGCCGTTTACTGACCATACGAGGCGTAGGGTTACCATGATTTTGATTACAAGTGGGGTAAAATAATAAAAAAACAATTTTAAATTCATATGCATTAAAAAAGATAGATCTATATGGTTTTAGTATTACTTAAAAAAAGTACTAAAATAGACACTTAATTAATACTTTTATATAAATGGTAATCATATTCTTGTATTATAGTTATAATTATAATTACTCACTGATCTTCCTACATTTTTGTAGCTTTAACAACATTTTTGCATCAACTTTTATTGTAATATCAAACATTACAGTCTAAACAATAAAATATCAAATTTTTGACTTTACAATGTCAACAAAAGGAACTACAAATGTTTATTTTAGTAACCAAAATTGTATTCCTTCTAAAAAACTGTATATTGGACAGACCTTTATCACTTAACTTTGTGAGACATTATCTTAACACTCTCAGCGCCAGACCTTAAGTGAGCATTTAAAGAAAACACAACTTTTTTTTTGGATGTGTCTTAAACTATATAATATATATTGTTTTTCACTCCAGTTTTTCCCCTTTTTTCCTTGGATTTTTATCTGTGTGTCATTTAGATACACTTGGCTTGGGAAATAGTTCATTTGAAATTCATACCTCCCAGGCCACATACACAGTGTTCTAGACGTTACGATGTTTTTATTCGAAAGCTTTAATGTCCTTAAACAAACATCTTAAAACATTTTGATACAACTTATAATTCTGATATAATTGTGCAAGGGTAATAACATTATCCTACATTTAACAATAATTATGGTCACCATAGCTGTAGCCAATTGCCTCAGCTTACTGCTATGCAGTGTGGGAAGTTTCATTTGAGACATTTACCAGTCAATGACTGCAGTAATCTTGATGAATCAAACTTTACTGTTAATTATACAAATACATGTAATTTGAAAGATGCATGAAGGTTACCCAATATTTTTAAAATGGCTTCATAGACTGTATTACACAGATGTAGAACATAGTAATTGGGTAGGCAACACATCTGCAATTGCAGATGTTTATGGGCAGCGGTTGCTTTCCATTTTGGTGGATTCAGGCCGCTTGCTCATATGCCACTTTATATTATAAAGAAAATACTCTGGAAGAACATGTGTTTAGTTTTTTTTAATACAACACGAAAAGCTTTAAATCATTTACAATGAAAGAATTGTCGTCACCATTTTGTCCTTTCCCTATGTAATGTTGACAAAAGTCCGCAATACATATCTGAATTCACTATCTTAAGCATTTTTTTTAATCTACCCATACTTTATTGGACTTCCTCTTCCTATGTAACTTTTAAGGAAATATAAAAAAAATCATTTAGTCGAAAACCCAACATTTCATCGAATCATTCAAATAATTCAAAAACTTCAGCATTTTTTTTTGGTTAGCTAAATGTATTTAACTTCTAAAATCAATGTTTTAATTCTCAATAACATTTTCTTTCTTAGCTATTTAAAAAAATCATGTCAACTAAAGTCTAATTTATATCTTTTAGTATGACTATGTTAATATAAAGTGAGTGAACAATTTACAAGTATCAAATACCTTTCAAATACGTCTGTAACTTAGCATCTTATAAATATAAATTCTCAACATAAGAAATATATTTTATATTCTGCCAATACACTCCGTTACCTAATAATGACTTTTAAGTTAGAGATTAAGTAATACTTGCTCACATCTTAGCCAAAACCTGAAGAATGTGAGGCTAAGCGCCCACTTTAGGTGGCCAGCATTGTATAATTTAAAGATTTTTTACTTTTATGTCTAAATATTTATCTTATAATAAATTAACTGGTCACTAAAAGTTAATTTTAATATATGAATTTACACTAAGGATTGTTTAAACAACTCTGAGTGTGAGTCATATGTGACATAAATATTATACCCACAAAACAATCAGTTACAAAGTAATAAAAAATTATTGGCTAAAAGAAAAACTGTATCAATAACAATGCTGAATTATTCAACAACTATTCAATTAAAACAATTAACAATTCAAATCAAAATAATTAACATGAATTAAAGAAAAAGATTGACATAAACATTATTTTAAAACTAACGTTTTCGTGCATTTGAGTTTAAAGTTTCAAATTTATTTTGTTTTAATTTCTAAAAATAAACAAAACTGAGGTAGTTTTGTATATTTTCTTGCACCATTTGCACTTTTTTTTAATCGAGGTCAATTTGGATGGGGACAGAGCAAAAAAAATTTTGCAATGGTTGTCAAAAAAGGCAAGTTTGTTGCTTGACCGCCCATAAAGTTTTAATGTCCTTTGCGATGTTTATACCAATAAAAACTTTAAAAAACTTCTCTAACTTACCAGAACGGCAAAATTCTTGTCACAAAACTGGTATTTTTATTCAAAATAATGATTTACATGAAATTAGAACTTCACAAAATGAAAACAATCACAAAAAACCTTTAGTTTCACAAGTTTAAGGCACAATTTAGCAACTTTCTATTCAGAGATCACAGATATGCCGCAACACAAACGTAAATTACAGTTAATAATTTCAACAAAACAAAATAAAAAGTCGGTTAGTTTTATTGCAAAAATAAAACATAAACAAAAACAAAATCCACCGACCTAGAAGACCAAACGAACTTTACTGAACCGAAGTGAAGTGAGTTGAATTGCATGAAGTTAAAGTAGTGAAGTTATCAGCGAAATGCTTGAGCTATCGCTATCTAGTGGTATTTTTGATTACTAATGTTTCCTCTTTTATTAGTTCAGTTTGATAAATATAGATGACTCTTATTTATATTTTTCATTTCTTTTTGTAAATGGAAAATGAAACTAATTTTAGTAATAATTCTTCATTTATTTACAGAAAACTTTTTTTTACATTTTATAATTGCGTTACAATAAATTAAATAGCATTCTTATCTCACACAAAGAACACACACATTACGTTTAGTTTCAAGAAGCCATGGTCGTTATATTGAGTATACGAAGGTTGGTGGTGTCAGTATGGTCCGGTTTCTGCCGCCTCCACTGAGATACGGGGCTTAAATCCTCGCTCATCTGCCTCATATTCCACCACCTGTGGTACAATTAGATCATATTTATTATTTAACGATGTAAATTATCTTTCAAACAGTTTTTGGATACTTAAAATATTTTTAATTAACGTTTTCAATTTAGTTTTTAATACTCGTAGATCTAAAGATTGAAATTGTAATTGAAAAACATCAACAACAATAACTTTATCCACCAAGGCGTCACATTGGGCGCCCGAATTCTAAATCATATTGGCGCCCCTAAATCAAGTGTTTTCATTGGCTGGCGCCCCGTAAAGTTATGCGCCCGGGCGCCTTTAAATTCCGGCACCGTAATCACATGCCCCAGGGCTGTTAGCTCTGTTTATTTGGTCTTACCTGCTTGGTACCATCAGGTAGCACTACAAAGTATGACCCCTCCGCCCTCTCCGCCTGTCGCGTCTCCACATGGCCGAAGTCACTGCCGCTGCTATAATCGTTCACCTTGTACCCGAATTCGTAGTTTGCAGGCTCCTAAAAAATAACATTTTATAATATTTAACTCACTACGTATTTAAAATTGGCTGTTTCTGTCGGATAAGGGTGGGCAACGCATCTGCAGTTGCGGATGTCTATGGGCAGCGGTCGCTTCGCCATTTTGGCGGATTCAGGTCTCCGCTTGCTCGTTTGCCACCTTATGTTATAAAAAAAATGTAAGCAAAGATACCTGATTAAGCAGTTCATCAAGTGTACTTCTAGAGTAACTGTAGCCAGAAGTATCACCGCTTGCATCTCCGTAGCCATCTTGCGAAGATCTGCAATGGATGAGTTAATTTTACATATACTTAAAAGACAACATCTAACATAAAGTTAATAAATTACAAATAGAAACTTACCTTGCATAAGACGAAGCTATTGCATTAGTCTTTTCAATATTCCTTGCTTCAGGTATTCCGTATTCCCCAGCAGGAGTTCTTGCACTTGGAGCTCCATAGACATTCGAAACAGAACGAGAAAGATCTTGAGAATACGAATCTCTGGCAGCGATTCCTGGTGCACCGTATTCAGTAGACAAAGAACCATACGTTTGTGGAACTGAATTTCTTAAAGTGACCATAGGGCTTTGATAACCATGGTTGACAGGAGATTGGTTTCCAAATCTTGGAAGACCATACTTTTGTACTGGATGTCTTGTAGATTCTGGGATATTAAAAGACCTTTGAGATGCGCTATATGTTTCTGAAGGAGAATTCCTAGGTTCACCATAAATTTGAGATGGTCCTGATCTGGTGTATTCTTTCGGAAATCCTGTTGCAATGTTAAGGTTTCTTGTATTTGGTGTCCCGTATAATGATGGATTTCTGGCCAAAGGTGTACCGTACTGTTGAGATTCGCGGAAGTTAGGAGGTCCGTAATTTTGGGAAATTTCGTTAAATTCATTGAAGGATTTAGATCGTGCTTCAAAGTTTGGCGGAAGATATTCCCGATGTGAATGGTAGCCGCTACTGAAAATAATGTTATTTCAATGTAGTGACTGTAAATCGTCCCACAAATACATTTTTTCCTACAAAACAGTTAGCAAATCGATTTTAGTACTACTGGCGCTAGGGACGAGATTTCCACGGGCTTTTTTTACTATAACTGAACATAGGATGGGCTTAAGGTTATGAAAATATTTTACAGAATTTTGGCGCCCTGTGCTGTCGCCGCCCGGCCCTACTCTAAAGCAGGCACTTAAAGGTACCCAAGTTGACCTGTAGTTAGACCAGCGCCATCTATACTTTACTTAAAGTATATTCAAGTTTCTTACCCGATTGGAGGCTCGGCAGCAACCCATGAGATCAGACATAAAAGTACAATTATCATCTGTAAATAATATAAAAATATTAGAATTTTACTTCTTACTAATATTGTAAATGCAAAAGTTTGGATGTTTGTTAGAGGTTGTAGTCTAAACGGCTGAACGGATCTCGAAGAAATTTGGCATAGACGTAGAGGATAGTCTGGAAGAACATAGGCTACTCAATTTTGTTTTTTAAAATTTCACACGGACGGAGTTGCAGGCGAAATCTAGTATTTTTATCAATAAATTTACTAAGTAATGATTCCGATTTACTGTCAATTAAAATGAACGTGTCCTGGAAATGGGATAAAGTAACCACAACAGCTACCCTTTCTAGAGGGTTACCTACCCTGCTAGTTACCCGATCGAGATGAAGCTTTCGAATGATATTCCCAAAAGATTAAAGCTGTATTTATACTGTATTCGACAGGATGAAAGCATTGATAACTGAACTACAAACACTTCGAACTCTATTACAATGCAATAAGATTGACTTTAGTATGACAATAGTAATATATGAAATAACCCTATTGTTGTCTTCAAGGTGCGTGTGACGACATGTGCTGTATTTGGATCATTCATTAATGTGAACATCATTTACTATCTTGTGGTCTAAATGTACTCATTGTTCATACAATATAGAGAAGGTTCAAAGCTTTCCTTGATGTAGGTAAAAGGACAATACGAACTGAACGACTTACACTAGCAGCATGCGTTTTCGTTAGTGTAGAACGAAAAAAATAATCAGTCGGGAATACAGCCAGTATAGACTTTAGCCAGTATAGAATACAGCCAGTATGGAATAACTTAACAGTAGTAGAGCCCGCTTTAACATTTTCGTACGAATGGGCCGGCTTGCCCAGCGCAATACCACGACCACACAGAAGTTCCCGCGTTTCGCCTGATAAGTGTGGTGCCGGAGGCCTATTTTTAGTCCCTTTCCCATTCCACCCTTTTTCTTAAGTGGAAAGGATGGGAAGGAAAGGTGAATTTGACGGTGAAGGAGACGCATAGAAAGGGGAAATTTCCTCTTTAGGTACGTCTCCTCCTCGGTCAATTAAGGGTAGACAACATATTTGCAATTGTGGATGTTTATGGGCAGCGGTCGCTTTCTATTTCGGTGGATTCAGGTGGCCGCTTGTTCTTTTGCCACCTTATATTATAAAAAAAAATATGGCCAGTATGGTATACTGCCAGAAAAATAAATAGCTAGTACCCTGGTTATTATTATATTTATAGGTTATACACGCTAGGTACTGGCGCAACGGTACACGCTTCAATTAAAAAACATGCTAACTATGCCGTTTAAAAATTATTATAGCTAGTTGCCAGTTTCTTGAAAGATTGCCAGATAATGACTTGTGTAACACCCTAAATTACTCCCACAGCTCCACTAGCACCTTCCAGTAAAAGTCTTATAAAAAAATCAGTGCAGTCGTTTCGCAGATTATCAGAAACAAACGTGGCCTTCTGGATAGACAATAAAAAGAAATGGATTTTCGTTACGAGCATTGTATACATCATCTTACTAATATCATAAATGCGAAAGTTTAGATGGATGTTTGTTAATACTTATTTTCAGATACAAAACGGATCTCTGAAAGACAGATGTAGAACATGGTTTGGAAGAACACAAACTGTTAATTAAGTTTTTTTTTTAATTCATCGTAAACGGAGTCGCTGCCAACAAGCCAGTGTTTGCTAAATATGATTTTTTTTATAGACTAGATAACTGTATATTGATTTCTATAGTTTACATGTTTAGCTGTTCAACGTCATCATTGATTTTATACTTAGGGGTTAACAGATTTCCACTAGCAAATCTCTTGTATATAACAAATTTTGTTTTGTACCAAAGTTTGTTACAAAACAAAATATCCCGTCTCTATGACAGCTGTCAATATCAGAAGTATTAAGGAACTTCGCTATATTTTGGCAGGAGTCGGTTAACTAAGTATCGAAGTAGATTTAACGTGTACCCCCGTCCTTTTGGCTAAAATATCAGGAACAGTTCCATCTGCGAATATGGTCTTGACGAAAGAACTCCAAATCACATCTTTTTCAGTCGCCCAGGTCTTTCTTTCTCACTCTATGATTACATTCCTCCTGATATTCCTTGCCCCATTGATCTCATATCGCTTCTTTCTCTTGTGAACTCCCCTTCGTTTATATTCTTAGTTCATTCATTAACCATAATAATATTATGCTGTAGGTTCCTGTCTCTGCAGCCCTGACCACTGGTTGCTTGAGTCATCGGATTCCGCAGCCGGTGGTGCTCTATTTTTTTATATAATATGTTTTATTTTGTTATTTTTTTAAGAAAATCATGTGAAATATATTATATATAAAAATAAGAAAATAAAGATATGAGATTTATGCTGTAGATTGTCTGTCGTGTTTCCAACTAACTCCTGTATATATCGTGGTTGTCTTGTTGTGTTAGAGTATTATACATACTTGTCATTGGCGAAATTTCTAAGGAAACGCCATTAACACAAAAGATAGATATGATAGAAGTAGATTTACGTTGTTATTTTATTGTCTCAGACTAATTCATATTTATGGAAATTGGTATCATGTCATTCAAAGTAATTCTGCACACAGCTGTCTTTTTTATATGAGAAGGGGGCAAACGAGCGGCGGGAACACAAAGGTGGTCAACGACGCCGATGTCTGCCGCGGCATGCTGGAATTCGTATCGGTACTGTTGCGTATATTCAATCTATTTGCTTTTTTATCTGTATTTTACTTTGTTTTTCAAATAACTACACTTGCTATTATCCTTTGGTCTAATTTGTCTGGACTTAGTTATTAAAACTGGTAAGTAGTTACTTAGAATAAGTTAGTAATTATTATTGATATGACGAAACAGAAATATGTCGTCAGTTAAAATTCATTAAATAAAATAATAAAATCTTCCACTTTTGTATCATTTTTATTTATTCCGAGTTAACAATATTGTCTTGATTGTTTAATTTAACTTGAATTCACAAACAATATTCCTGAAAAAATATTTGTTAAGTTTTTACAAAAAAAGTGAACATTTTATGGCTTAAATATTTTTCTTTCAAAAACAAATTACAAAGTAAGAAGCTTTCTAAAACGAGGTTTGCGTGTTTTTTAAACGTCATGAAAAAAACGTATATTTTTTACAGTATTTTTTTATTAGTTAAAGGTAGAAATGAACAGAATTCTTGATAATATTTTCTTCAGTAACATAAACTGGATTCATTATTATTCTGGATACGTGGAATACACTAGTACGGTCCTGCGCTGCGAGAGTCGACATCAGCTGGTTGTACGGAGATCCTGGGCTTGAAACCTTCTTCATCGGCCTCATATTCTACCACCTACAAAAAACATATAACTACATATACTATATGAGTACAAAATAAATCTTACTAATATTATAAATGAGTTGAGATGGATATATGGATGTTTTTTTTATAGTTAGTAGCCTAAACGGCTGAACGGATCTCGATGAAATTTGGCATATTTGAAGAATAGTCTGGAAGAACACATAGGCTAATCACTTTTGCTTTTTTTAATTCCACGCGAACGGATTCGGAGTTAAAAGCTAGTACCTCATATTTAACATCTAAATCATTACTTAGATTGCGATTAATGTGCTCAAAGGACCACAAAAAATTGTGGTTTTTAAAATCTAAAGTAATATAGTTAGGATTTATTTTCATTAGTATCGTACGAAAATTGAGCTAGAATTCACGACAAGTAAAGAAAAATATTAAATTTTGAAAAATCCCATTCAGGACCACCAAAAAGTCCCAAAGAAATTTAATTTCCATGGCTTTTTTTACCTTTTACAGGCAAAGAGTAGTCGTTGTTAAGAGTTAAAGATAGAACTATTTTAACATCGAAAAGAAAGCGGTTTCCAATTTGTTCGTATGTTCGTTACCTGTTTTGTACCATCTGGCAATACCACGAAATAAGACCCTTCCGCTTTATCTTCTTGTCTGGTCTCTACATGTCCAAAGTCACTACCGCTCTCGTAATCGTCCACTTTATAAGCAAATTCATAGTTCGCTGGTTCCTGTGACATTAAAAAAATTAATAACGACCACATATTGAAACGAATAATTACTTCGCGCTGCTTGCATTTGTATTTTTAGAGCAGGGCTTTGCACTAAACTATCGCAGAACTGTTGTTAGATTGTCGATTGTTTCGCAGCTAATTCATTTAAGCACATAGGAATCAAAGCGAGACTAAACAATTAATCAACGGTGTGCTCTAAGCGTGGCTCTATCATTTAACACACTGTTACTTATTAAAACGACGTTTCAGTATTCGGCTGTAAGTAGAGTTGTTAAAAGGCTCGAGTCTCCCGAGTCTTCGACTCATTCAAGGCTCGAGTCTTTTGTAAGAGCTTTTAAGGCTCAGTAGCTTCGACTCGGAGCTCGAGTTTCGGGCTCGAGGCTCATTTCTCACAACACTAGATGTAAGTCTTTTTGACTGCATTTGGATTTGAAGAACAAGAAACGAGTGACATAAACTAGTAGAATGTGACTAGAATAAGTTTGTGATGTTATTTTTTCACACTAGCAACGGTGGATCTAGGAGGGGAGTCATGGGGGTCATGATGACAATGACAAAATATATTTACATATTTTGTCAAGCTCTTGACTTGACTACGACTATGTGACCCCCCCCCCCTGGCGACAAAGCTGGATCCACCCTTACATAGTAGTTCCTAAAGCGAAATTTCACGGCAACCCTTTTCAGTACCTTAAGAAATATACAGAATTATGTGAGATTGTGATCTTAGCGTCCCATTCTGTCCATCCTAACGCCGTATATGTGTGTATTATGAAGATGAATATTACCTGGTTTAACAGATCAAGAGCATTCCTGGCGCTGGCGTATTCATAGCCCAGATCTGAAACATCAGTTGGAGCACCATACTGATTTGACGGCATTGAGTCTTGGCGTGATTGTGGTACACCATATTGCTTGGATGGAGATCTATAAATACAGACGAATTGAGTACCTCCTTCTTTAAGAAAGTCGCTCAAAAATAGATAGAAAAACTATTTAAAAACACCAATTCAAACCTCCAAAACCCAGCAGTTGTAGTGTGTCTGTGTGTAGATTGGTTAAAGCGCTTTTTATCCAATTTTTGATGTTTTTAAATCTTTTAATTATAAGACTTTTATCTTCGTTGGGGACTATACTTACAAGTTGATGATAATAAAACTATAAAAAACTTACTTAACAGTCGAATATGAAGCAGTAATTGCATTAGTTTTTGAACCAATTGATCTTCCTGCAGGCTGTCCATATTCTTGAGAGATACTTCTTGCATTAGGTACACCATATTTCTCTAGAGGTTCAGGAAATACATTTTTAGCTTCAGGACCACCATATTTAGAGGACAAAGAACGACCAAAAGGTACTTTAGCATGGTTACTTGATCTGACTGAAGATATAGGGTTCAAAGAACCTTCAGAATATAATTGAGACTTCCTGCTTTGGAATTTAGGTACGCCGTATATTTGGACAGGTGATGAGTTTCTGGAAACACTGCGGGTTAAATCCTCCGAGCCTGGTGTTCCATATTGCGTTGTTAAACTCTGGGCGGGAAGATAAGAACTGGTCGGATTTCTGCTAGTTGGGGAACCGTAATGTGTCACACTGCTTTTTGGGAAAGAAAGACTGGCATCATATTGTGAGGTGGCTGGTACACCGTATTCCTGAGATAAAGATCTGAAAGTCTCTTGGTTTGGTGTTCCATAATCTTGAGATATATCACGGAATTCTGGAGCCCCGTACTCTTGGGAAAGTCGGGAATTCTTTGGACCTCCGTATACTTGGGATAGATTGTCCCGGAAACCTGAAGCTTGTTGGGATAGTCTAGAAGTTGGTTGGTAATGGTTATTTTGTCGTGTGGTAGGAGCAGTTAGATCAGGTATATATTGCTGATGAGGTCCATGATCTTGGTGCAATCCAGCAGCTTCTAGATAACTGTCTCTGAAAATGATAAAAGTTATTATAATGTAAGTGATTGAATGTTCTTTATTTGTGTACAATGGATTGAACTATGTTGAGGTTAGGCTGCATTGGCTGTTTTTTAACTTTTATAGAATTTAGTTGCCATATTCAAAATTATAACTTACCGAACTGGTGGCTCTCCTAGCGCCAACGAAAGCAAACATAGAAATACGATCATCTGAAATAAGAGAATTTTAGTTTCAGTTAATATCCATACTTTCTTAGTTAGATTCTTGAATATACACGAATTAAATAACTACAGAACGAATGGCGTGATATTGTAGACTTGAGACAGTGAAAATCTACTGTTATAATAATAATAATATATGAATATTTAGACTGTTTTATTTACTACCTTCCTTTCTAATTAAAAGTTACTTGCTGTTACTCGCGACTTCGTCCTCGTGAAATTAGAAAGTGGTAAAAATATTGCCGATATTACTGACTACTAACGTAGCTTTTAAATAGTGAAAGATTTTTTTAAATTGGCTCAGTAGTTTTTGAGTTATTTCACTATATAAAAATACAAAAATAAAAATCTTTCCTTTTTTGACCGACTTCCCAAAAGAAGGTAATAATTCTGTATGTTTTTTTTATTTTTATATCATTACTAGCTTTCGCCCGCGACTTTGTCCGCGTAGTAGTAAAAAAAACAAGTAGCCTATGTATTCTTCCAGACTATCGTCTACATCTATGCCAAATTTCATTGAGATCCGTTCAGCAGTTTAGGCTACAAACTCTAACAAACATCTATCCATCTAAACTTTCACATTTATAATATTAGTATGAAGTATGATAAACATTAGTTTATAGTTATTTGAATATTTATTTTTTTTTGTTTACGAAAAAGTTTTATCTACCCTCAGAGTTTAGAACAGGACTGTCTTAGATAAAAGATGTTTATCGAATACTTTCTTGTTAACACGATACCACTATTTATACTAGTAGTAAATCAACCGTTTCAGTACCTTAAGAACTTTTATTGTATCTTCAGTAAAACACATTGTAAATTGGACTCTAACTTCATAGTAATAAGATCTTAGATGTTTGATACGTGTATCGTTTTGTTTGAAACATATCTATTGTTGATAACGCCTTCATTTGGTTGTGACATCTGTCATTTGTAGGTCAATGTTGTCCTTAAATCTATAACTATTTTTTACTAGCTGTCGCCCGCGACTCCGTACGCGTGAAATTAAAAACAAAAGTGAATAGCCTATGTGTTCTTCCAGACTATCCTCTACATCTATACCAAATTTCATCGAAATCCGTTCAGCAGTCTACAAACTTTAACAAACATCCATCCATCCATCCGTCTAAACTTTCACATTTATAACATTAGAATGACAGTTAATTAGAAAAAGGAAATACTTTTGATTTATAAAAATGTTAATAAAAAATAATTATTATTATAATGTAGATTTATTTTTAGATTTATGCCTAAAACGGAACGGTGTCAGAGGCGTGATCACATTTATTACATTTCCATTGAAACTATTAAAAACATCAACACTAGGTTCTGCGTAACAATGTACTTCAAGTAACTCAGTAGTCATTATTTTATTAATTAGACCTGCAGCTTTCATTATATTACTAACAGATGGCGCCCAAAAGTGATATTTCCCATACAAATGTGCGTAATTCAGAACAACATTTCCTATCAAATTTGCTACATAAGTAACTTCAATTAAAATAACAAGTTTCTTTCCTTTAAGTCTAACAGTTGCTTTGTTTCCTGGTTCAATGTTTATATAACCATCCTTTTTTATTCCAAAAGGTAGTGACACACTGTGGAAATTATTCTTCCTCCATTGATTTTTAAATGAGATTATATTGCCATGAAAATTATAATCAATGTTGTACGAAATGGAATCTTCTGGAAGACCATTGTTGTTCCAAAAAGATGTTACTCTATTTTCAATTGTTTCATATATCGATATGTTTACATTAATTGTGTTTGTAGTATTGTTGATATATTCGTGATTCTTTACGACAATGTTTTCTTTAATAACTTCGATGATTTTTATATTTTTCACTCGTAAATTCCTTTTAACAGGCGTCCAGTTGTAATTTTCGTATATATTACCATATTTAGTTGGATCGTTTAAGTATATGTCATCAGGATATTTACCGAGTTCAATTCTCACTCCTTTACTTAAATTATTGTCTGTAATGTTGAATAAATTTACTTCCATATTTGTTATTATTTTTTTATCGTCACCAATATACGTCACATTTATGTCATTTTTATTTGTAGCAGTTTTTACGAAAATTTTTATTTCACATTCACTAAATATTATTAAAATAAGAAATGTTAAAGAACGTAACATATTTAGCTAAATTAATACGGAATTATATTTTCTGTTATACGGAAATTTGCAATAAACTGATAGATAGAATAGTTGAAAACAAATAGATAATAGTTAAAACAAATGAGGGCTTATTACGAATAGGTTCGTAACATCATCGACTGTATTAAACTCGTGGAATCTCATACAAATTTTGTCATTTCGTTACGAATTCTCGCTCGCAACTGTTTCGCAAATATTCTTAATAAACTCTCTATTTATCACAGACGTAAATGTGGATTCCAACTGCAGAAAAATTTATCAAACAAGTATTGCTATCTCAGTTTAGTCATAAAGGGGGAATAGGACAGCGATATGTTTGTACACTACACGCGGAATGTAACTTTGACCTATTTATCAAACGTAGTTCAAGAGTATAGACGTTGTAGATTCAATCATAATAATGATAATCTTCTAATATTTACATATAAAATAACTAGTAACAATACCTTGGTTTGTCTTAATTTAAATACTAAACTTGTCTTTTAAATTGATTTTAACGTCTTCGATGATATTGTAAATGTTAAATTTTTTTTAAAGAAAAGCCAAATAAACAAAATCGCCGGAAACATAAGGTGCCTTTCCGACTAGCGAAGGAAGGAAGTAAAAGGAACCATAAAACTTTATCTATTTCTGGTTTCTTCCAATCAAAAGTTAATTCAAACCAACATTAAATTCTTTGTATTACAATGATTATATTGTTTATTTAACTTTTGATCTTGACAAAAAAACGTTAAACATCCCAAATCAATTCCATTGACCATCTTGTACAGACGTTTTACTAAACTTTAATAATATAAAAATGATTGGATTAAAAGTATTATTATTTCTAATATTTTTAATAATAGTTGAATCGAAGATTTCAATCGATATTAACGTTGATAACAACCCTAATATCGCAATAAATTATTCAGGTTTTGAGGTTAACGTAATCAATAACAAAGAGATTGAATTATTCAATATCGACAACGCAAATATAAAACGAGCATTAAAAAAACATTACGGAAGAAAACCTAATAATGTTTATTTAAAAAGTCCTACACCTTGGGGTGATTTGTATAAGAAATATAAATGGGAAGAAGTAACAAGAGTTTTGACTGTTAAATCTGCAAGATTGAAATCAATAACGAAGAAACCAATTATAATTTTATCACATGATTTCGAGAACGTATCGAATAGGACGATCAAAGTGAACACTGGGATCAGTCAAACAGTTGAAAATACTATCACAACAAGTTGGACGAAAACAAAAGAAACTACGATATCTCAAGAGATAGAATATGAAGTGAACGTGATGTTCGGTAGAGCAACAGGGACTAGTGGCATCTCTTTCACATCCAGTTGGGGTGAAAGTGAGGAGAGAACGGAAAGTGTGACAATAAGTGCGTCCAGTTCTGTAGAAACGGAGTTACAACCAGGACAAGCAGCAAAAGCAGTGCTATCAGCTAGTAAAGGGTCTTTAGAAGTTGAGGTTTTATATCTGGCGACTCTGAGAGGTAATGTAGCTGTTAATTTTAATGCGGCATACAAAGGACATCATTTCTGGGGACCATCGATAGACGGGATTATGAGGAATGGTGGAATTAACAATGAAGTTATAATAAAAGAAATTATTAATATAGGATTTTATACTGAAGCCAGTTTGAAAGTTTTTGATAAAGTATCTGGAGATACTTTGTAAGTTAATATAACGTAAATTATGAAAATTTTATTTTACTGTTTACATTTGTCAAATTATCAATAGCGAATTTCAAAATGACATGACAAACCTTGACAAACTTCCTTTCTTGATATTAGCAGCAGCTTATGGTCTCTTTCCCACATTAGGGTTTTAATCCGAATTATTTACCCCCTAAGTTTAATAGCTTGAAAATATATAGCCTAAAGCGTGACGTAAGTGTAGGGCTTTTTATTAAAAAAAGAATTATTCAAAAATATGCTGTAATTGCTGATATTTTAGGCAACAAAGAAGTGTGTGTTTACGCTTTATTATAATAGTTTAGGTGTGAATTCGTTTGTTTTTAAGTTTAACAACATAATACAGGGTGATTTTGAACGGACTGATCAACGGTTCTGTGGAGGTAGAGGACCTCATTTAAACCCAAAGTTTATTGCCCGATTTTCTGTAGTTTTGAAGTTATTTATTTTTTTGTAAAAAAATCGGAAAAACTAAATTTCTGACTTAAATTTGACCGTACGTTCAAAATAATCTGTTTACAGCCACTTTTTTTCGTTAACAAGCCTATTAATTAGGCTCCCTCTACAAAACCGTTGATCCGTCCGTTAAGAATCACCCTGTATATTCTCTCTTTTCGTCGAAAAATAAACAATATGTAGTTGTACCTAAGGGTGTTACGCAATAAAAAACTCACAGGTTAAATGTTTATTTTGTTATTAGCTTTAGTAATTAGAAATAAAAATGTATTTAACATCTGTAAGGTTTTTTTCTTCTAATTCATGTTACATCATAGATCTTTACACAAAGCTATAAGCCGCAACACAGGAACGTATAGTCATCTCTCTCTTTGGCATATATAAAAAAGAGACGACTGTTTTCAGGTGTTACCTCAATGGTTCCTAATAATATGTTTATTAGTTGAAGTGTTACTATAAAAGAATCCATTTAACAAATTAGTTCAATACCAAATCTCCGATGCCAAAATAGTGACAATTAAGGCCAAGGTTCTGTCCAAGTTTACACAAAAGCTTTATTCGTCACGATTTGAACATATCTATTGTTTATGTCAAGCATTTTAAGTGTGGATTTCCACTGTCGTAAGACATATATGTAACATATCTATACATATAATAAAATTGGAGTGTCTGTTTGTAATATCAAAGGAAAAATTCCAGATTTCTTGAAAATAATGTATGTACGTATGATGTTTATTGCATTAAATTTTTTTGTCTGTCTGTCTGTCCGCAAGCCGCGTTTGTTCCGGGTAATCTCCGAAATGGCTAGACCGATTTCGACCGGACTTACATTGTAGGGTAGCTGACATAAACGGGCATATTATATTCTACCCTTTTATCTTAATATTGCGTCGACGAAGTCGCGAGCAACAGCTAGTCGTTAACTAAGATTCGGGGATTGAGGTATTTGCAAAAAAAGTAGTTAATTAGACACAAAATAGTCAAAAATACCACAGCCTGTATTACTAAGGGTTGTATAGACTCTACTTTTGAAGGTTTCCGTCATACTTGGGATTTATTTCATAAAACTGTGACGTCATAGATGTCAGTTATGACCATTGTGAACATATGAGTCCTTTTACGTCACGTTTCAGAGGAAATGAAAAGTAACTAGCCAGATAAAGCCACAACACAGTAAGGCCGTCTAAATTGTATATGTCTCTTCGTGTCGTCATTGTGGTACATCCTTGTATAACAATAAATACTTAGAGAAGACTTTAGTAAACATTAGAGCGGACGCACACCTTTGACTAATCGCACAACTGTTGTGCGATTGTCGATTGTTTCGCAGCCTTCAACTGTTTAGTTGCACAACTAAAAATCGAGTTCGCACCTCCATATAAGCTTATAGGAATAAAAGTCTACCTTTTTACATTATAGTATTTACTAGCTTTCGCCCGCGACTCCGTCGGCGTATTATTAAAAAAAAACAAAAGTGAATAGCTTATGTGTTCTTCCAGACTATCATCTACATCTGTACTAAATTTCTTCAAAACCTGTTCAGCCGTTTAAGCTACAAACTCTAACAAACATCCATCTAAACTTTCACATTTATAACATTAGTAAGATTTGTATAAAAACTAATAGAGAAATTAATTATCTGTATATTGGTTATACTCTGAAAATTACGTATATAAAGTTAGGTTGAACATACACAAAAAAAACATAATTAAATAACCTAACACTTATGACAACTAAAAAAAAAGTAATAATAATGCCTGTCGAATTATTGAGATTTTGTTCCACGTTCGACTCCATTGATTTCCCTGTCCTTTTAATGTCAATTCACCTTGAAAGCTCCTCTATTCATCAGATAATGAGCGACAATATATCAACCCCCGCCCGCTTACAAATGTCTGTATAAAAGCTCTAAGTACTGAACATAAAGTATCAAACACTACAAGTCGTAGAACAAATTCAACAAAGTTTTATAACAAACATGAAGGTAATTTTAAACTTTAAAATATTATATTCAAAATTAATTACAAAGACTTTTTAGTATAAAGCTGTTCCCATGCGACTTCATCCGCATAAAATTTAAAAAAAAATCATTTTATTGTTCACATTTGTCACATTATCAATAGCAAATGTCAAAATGACATGACATGATGTCAAACCATGGCAACCTTGCTTTCTTGATGTTGGCAACAACTTTTGGTCTCTTTCCCACATTAGGGGTTTTAATCCAAAATATTTACCCCCTAAATTTAATGGCGTCAATAGCCTAAAGCGTGACGGTGAAGGGCTTTTATTAAGAAAAGAGTTATTCGAAAATATGCTTTGATTGCTGACATGTTAGGGAACAAAGAAGTCTGTGTTTACGCTTTATTATATTAGTATAGATATTTCTTTATTTTTTTTTGATTTTTAAAAACAGCGCTTGACCACGATCCCGCCTATACTTAAGTGATAATCTGATGAGAGAGCGAATGGATGAGTGAAGGAAGTTAAGCGAGGCGATGAGACGACAGCCCAATGATTTATTTGAGTAAAGTTCTAATTTATATTTTAAAATGTATACCGTTTTCATTTTTTTTTCAGACTCTCTTGATCACCGTAGCCCTTGTTGCTTTTACCGCTGCCGAACCACCACCCTCTAAGAGGTAACCAAACATTAAAAAAAAACATCTTACATATAAAAAGTCTTGTTGCGTAATATATTTAGAACTATTTCATTTAAAATAAACAATTACATACATATTTATTATATAAACTAGCTATTCCCATGCGGCTTCATCCGCATGATATTGTGAAAATTTTATTTTATTGTTTACATGTGTCAAATGATCAACACCAAATGTCAAAATGACATGACATGACAAACCATGGCAACCTTGCTTCCTTGATGTTGGCAGCAACTTATGGTCTCTGTCTCACATTAGGCTTTTTATCGAAAATGTTTATCCCCTACGTTTAATGGCGTGAAAATATATAGCATAAAGCGTGACGTCAATGTAGGGCTTTTTATTAAAAAAAGAATCTTTCAAAAATATGCTGTAATTGCTGATATCTTAGGCAACAAAGAAGTGTGTGTTTACGCTTTATTATAATAGTATAGATTGTTTATTGTAGTGCAATTAAATAATTTTCTGCGCTTAAGAACGTGCACACAACTTTGACAAAACTATAGCACAACTATTAAATCGTGCTTTGATACCTACGCTTATATGGAGCGCACACTACTCGATTTTTAGTGCAACTTAACAGTTGGTTGCGAAACAATCGACAATCCCACAACAGTTGTGAGATATTCGTAGTTTAGTGAAAGTTCCAATCCAGTCAACCTGTTTTTCAGCTATTTGCCACCACCATCTGGTCGGTCTCCGGGATATCCTCAAGGTCCAGCTGGAGGACCTGCTTTTGATGCGGGTGTGCCTGAAGTTGTTGCAGCAAGAAGTTTTGGTAATCAAGAAAATGGCAACGGATTCAGCAGGTAACAAAAGAAGTACACCTTTGACTGAACTATCGCACAACTGTTCAGTCGCGCTTTTTCCTAAGATTATATAGAAGTGCGGACACTACTCGATTTTTAGTTGTGCAACTGAACAGTTGGTGGCGAAGCAATCGAGAATCGCACAGTTTAGTCAAAGATGTGCGCGATCTTAAAAAGAAACTTACTATTTAAAAATGTCCATCATCATCTTCCCTGCTTTATCCTACTCCTGTAGGGTCGGCGTACCGGGTTTTTGTCCTCCAAAGCACTCTATCATCCGTCATCTTAGTCATCACTCCCTTCTTGATCATGTCACCTTTCACGCAATCCATCCATCTCTTTCTAGGTCTACCTTTACCGATGTACCCCTCCACATTCATAACTAACATCCTTCTTGTTACATGCGATTCATCCCTTCTCATAACATGCCCATACTCTAACTTTTTACTCCTTATTTTCTCAACCACTGGGGCTACTTTCAAACTTCCTCTAATATACTCATTTCGTATATTATCCAATCGTGTTACCACACATCCATCTTAACATTCGCATTTCCGCCACATGTAGTCTCCTTTCATCCGTCCCTTTTACTGCCCAACATTCAGATCCATAAAAATGTCCAATCTTTTATTTTTCAGGAATGGTTTTCAAGAGCGTGGGGTAAATCCCAGACTCGTGAACGGTCTAAGGGAAAGGGGAAACTTCGGTGTTAATGGCGTCCGAGATGAAAGTGACGTAAGTTTTCATTTCAAAAGACACATATGAAACTAAACTATCCCACAACTGTTTAGTCGCGCTTTGATTCCTATGGACTTATATGGAGTACACACTACTCGATTTTAAGTCGTGCTAAACAGTTGATTTGGCTGCGAAACAATCGACAATCCCACAATTGTGCGATAGTTTAGTCATAGATATGCACCCGCTCTAAAGACTAATTTTTCTTTCCAGACTGTGAGCCTTGAAGCTGAAAGTAGCGGTTTCAAATCTCGTATTAATTACCAAGACTCAGAAGAACATGAATATGAAGCCAGCAATGGCCGTTCTAACGGCTATACCCGTGGCAACCATGCTTCCCGTTCTAACGGCTACTGATTGCTTTTATTTTCTTTTTTGTTTTTTAATCGCATTTTATGTATCAAATTCAGCCAGTTTGTAATTTATAATTAAATATTCATGATTGTAAATGTATTTATTTATTTTCAATAAATATATTTTTGTTTTTAACTTGTTGTTTACATTTTAATCTTTAACGTTAAAATAAACGGGATATGTGTATGAAAAAGTTTTAAATTTGAAGCGAATCCAGGGCGAATTTCTAGTTTTAATTACTTTTATAATAGACATCCTCACCATGTTGATGGCTGGCATTCCACAACCGTGCGGTTTTCGCGGAACTTTCTGCCCCGCACAGCCGCGTTGTGGAACGGTCTGTCCTCGGCGGTATTTCCAAACCAATACGACTTAGGGTCCTTCAAGAAGCGAGCCTACAATTTCCTCAAAGGCCGGCAACGCATCTGTAGTTCCTCCGGTGTTGCGGATGTCTATGGGCGTCGTTGACCACCTTTGTGTTCCCGCCGTTCGTTTGCCCCCTTCTCTCATAAAAAAAAAAAAAAACAACATGGCAACCTATTTTCAAGGTTACGATAAATCGAATCGATTTCATAGAATACAGATCAACGTGTATAATAAATCAATATTTATAATTGGGTAATTAGTTCGTACAGATATCATTAAAGTAAAGAGAAATACGATATTCGTGTCATCTTTATATCGCAAAAAGTAGTTTTATAGGTTATCCAAAAATTACTTTGAATTGAAAAAAATATTCTCTGGACCAAAGATATGTTTATAAATGAAATAATGCTTCATTTATTTATTTAGACACGTCAAGGCTAATGAAACTATCTATAGACAACGAAAATTTCGCTATGTCGGCGAATTTAAGTGACCGCTTACTCGTTTGACAACTTTTAATATGAACACGCTAACAATCATACTAATATTATAAATGCGAAAGTTTAGATAGATAGATGTTTGTTAGAGTTTGTAGCCTAAACCGCTGAAGGGATTTCGATGAAATTTGGTATAGATGTAGAGGATAGTCTGGAAGAACGTATAGGCTACTTACTTTTTAATTTCACGCGGACGAGGTCGCGGGCGGAAGCTAGTCATTTATATTTTAAAGACATAAGTATATATAATATTGATATAATTCTGGTCATTTAGGGCCGTTGGGCCCTGCATGTCTTTTAGCACATTTTCAACTTAACACACATTCGTTAAGTATAAGCAAGTACTTGTACAAGTTTTTATCCTTGCCACGTACTAATTAGAATTGCTCAATCAATTAAATAGCTAATCCAAACTCCATTTGTAAATATTTGCCCATCGTATGGTCCTTGATTTGTTTGAGGTTCTTTAGTTAAAGATATTTTTAGTATAAAAACGGAATTTTATTATACTTCGATATCATTGTCGAGTAGCATTTCAGATTATCAACATGAAGGTAAAAATTGAATTTGAAATTTACTACAAGCTTCGGATAAAATAAAGAGAGACTATTTATTTCTTATTCTAAATATGGGACAGTGTTGATTTGATCTATTTCTTCCAGATATTCGCCATTGCAGCACTTTTAGTCGTCTCTGTGGCTGGTAGAGGTTCAGGACCTTACTTACCTAGTGGTTGGAGACCGGAAGGTCCAGCCTTCTATCTACCATCTGAAGTTGAGGTAAGTATATGTCTTGTAGTAACCGCAGTATTAGAATTACGGTAGGAACCTCCCAGCTGCCGCTGGACGGAAATGGTACAACCGTTCTACAATATACACAGTCTAGTGTAGTCAATACTCTATGAAACCTCAATTAGCTTCGTAGGATCGTCGTAGAAATCTCGCCCATGGCGTTGTAACTCTAAAATCGGCATTAGATTACATTATCGTATAACACAACAGCCATGACATTTATAAGCATTTTCAAACATTTTCTTCACTTTGAGACAACAGAGGTGAACAAATTCTACAATTAAATTGAAATAAATGCTACCATACTAACAAAAGGCTACATGAGTTCCAATCATTTTGCTGACACGGTTACTAGATTTAACTACATTTTTTTACAGAAGCCCAAAGAAAATCCAATCAAAGATGTGATATATCAAGAATCGATAGCGTCAGGATCCGATTCCTTCCAAGAGTATGGTCCGCCGAAGGTTGATTTCGAGTTGTCAAAGCAAGGACTACCTGATGTTGTCACTGAACAAGTATTTGCTGTGATTGAAGCGAAAGTGCAAGAAAATGTTGAAGAGAAAGTAGCTGTAACTCAAACAGAAGCTGTTGTTGCAGACTCTGAAGGTAAAATTATAAAATACTTCCATAAATATTGGACTAATGTTACTTGAATACTATCTATAGGCATACAGCAGTATAGACAGGCTAGCAACAGTTCCCTAAGGTACAGAAAAAAAGAAAGATCTCTTGTCTCTGTCTATTTAAGTTGTTATTTTTGCAGCTAACCTCAGTCAACAATCGATCGTACAAGAAATATTGCCAGTAACAGAATTAGTCCAAGAAGAAGCAACAACTCCTTTAACTGAGACGGAAATAATCGAAGACATACAACCAGCTGAAGTAACCACACAACTAGTTGAAATAGCAACCGCAGTTGAAATTGAAGAAACTCCTATCATCGAAGTATTAGAAAAAGAGACAGCAGTAATACAGCAAGAGAATGAGAACGCCAACAGCAATATCGTATCAACATTCCAAGAAAGAGTGCAAGTAGAGGAAATACAGACTGTGAAAGAAGAAGTACAGAAAGTCGAAACTGAGGTTAAAAGTGTAGAAACTGAAGTCCAGAAAGTAGAAACACAAGTACAGAACTTCGAAACAGAAATCAAGACTATTGTACAAGAGGTTCAAAATATCCCCGAGTTATTGAACAGCATTGACAATGAAGCCAAAAAGGTAATAGAGAATCTTTTTTAACAATTTACTTTTAGATTGAGATCCCAGACCAGAATGACGACACTTGAATTCAAAAACTTTATTGTTATATGATTATATTATTAAGCGTCGGTGGCTCAATGGTTTGAACACTTGACTTGTAATCCACAGGTCTTGGGTTCGAATCCCGCCATGTACCAATGTGATTTTCAATTTTTTGAATTTTCATATGTACATAATTTTCCCGACGTTCTTACGGTGAAGGAAAACATCGTGATGCAACCTGCACATATCGGCGAAGAAATTCAAAGATATGTGTGAAGTCAACCAACCCGCAGTGCAGCGTGGTTGACTATGGCCTAGTCACCCCTTATTAGGGTAGGCTCCGAGCCCCTCGGTGGGGACGTACAGTGAGTTGGTGATGATGATTGTTTTATGATTAGATAGTACTCGTTTGTGATGTAACCGACTGGACATATTTCCGTGGGCCAATTTAAATATTTGGCGTTCAGTGTTTTTAACCGGATTCAAAAAGAATGTTCTCAATTCAAAAGGTTTATGTTTTTCTTTTTTTTTTATTTCAGGTGGAGCCTGTTGAAGACGTTTCAGCCAAAGTAATTCAAGAAACGTTTGGGTAAGATTTCTACTTTTTATTAACAACAAAAACTCATTCCTTTTTTGAATTTAAAATGTGACACGTAAGCATGTTATCATATGAATTACATGTTTTTATTTTAGTTCTCTTGAACAAACTCCCGAAGGTTTCTTGGAGTACGGTCCCCCCGGATTCAAAGAATACGGACCACCAAAAGAGGAAGTTGTTCCAGTTTCTGAGGTAAGAACGACTAGAGTTTAGTTTTGTGTTGTTTTTTGATATTTCAATATACTCTGAGCTTTAATTACAGGTGATTCAGCCCGGTCTGCAGACGATTGAAAGCAATGTTAACAGAAGACGCCGATTTTCCCCCAAATTCAGGTAAATATGTCAACTAAATTGGTGTACTTTTAAACCAGGAATAATATTTTAAAAACTACTTAAAACGTTTTTAATGTTATTATTTTGTTTACAGGACTGCAAGGAAAGCGAACAAACACTAAAACAATCAAATACGATGAAAACTGCGATTAAATGGCGAATAATTTAAAGGAATTTCCAATAATGTTAAACTGTAAATTAAAATATAATCCATGTTAATGCAATGTAAATAATAAATGAACATTGAAAATTAAACGCTTTTCATTCTTTACTTCTCTGGTTTTTTGAAACAGCACTAACATATTATATTTCAAACAGAATTAACTAGAATATTTTAAAGTAGCTGTTGCTCGCGACTTCGTCCGCGTGAAATTATTTTTTTTAAATGTGGCCTTTATTTACTGATAACGTAACTCTTATATGGTGAAAGAGTTTTTGAATATTTGAAAACATAAAATAATACAAAACTCTATTCTTTATAATATTAGCATAAATAAATGTTATTCGTGACAAATAACTAGTAGTCTAACATCATAAATTAAAACACGAAAAAGTAAACGTCAACGTCACGAAGCAAAGAAGCAAAGTTCAATTTTCAAATGTCATTGTCATTTTAAAACTGCTGTTGAAATGATTGGACTTCTGACTTATTGTTAAAGATAAAAAGGACATAGTTCTTGTTTTATTCGTTTATAATTATTGAAGAAAACACAACTTGTACCGCGATACTGGATAATTTCATATACATGTTAGTCTTTTTGTTTAACACGCAGCACTTGACGTTAATCGGTCACGTAACTGTAAATAATTACACATTTTAAACGTTGAATTTACTGTAATTCGACATATTTAGTCATTGATATCTTCAGGTTTTCATTTTGTCTATCTTTCCCGGTCTAACATTCCTTTTAATATTTGATTTAAGTGATTAATTATATTAAAAATGTTAAAAACACAATGGATACTCACCTGTGTGCCTCTGTATACAATTTTGTAAGTTAAGATTTTTTTTATACCTTTTTAAAATATTACATTGTGAGTAAATAGATTTCTCACAAACATGTCTAATTATTATATTCTGTTTGTAGTTTATTTAAAATCTGTTTGGTGATTGGGATAAAAATTATTAAAGTGTGCTGTTCAGACTCGTAATTTGTTTCCATTTGTCATTAGGTGTGTGTAAATGCTTGTATATGTTTGAGAATTATAATTTGTCTATATATATCTGTTAAAATTAAAAATTAAACTGACTGCTACCCCCTAAATATAGTTAGGCACTGTAACACATGATACATAAATAGTTTTATCATAAATATATTTTACTAATATCATAAAATCGAAAGTTTAGATGGATGGATGGATGTTTGTTAGAGTATGTCACCTGAAGTGCTGAAAGGCTCTATGAAATTTGGCACAGTTGTAGAACATAGTCTGGAAGAGCACAAAGGCTATATACTTTTGTTTATTTTTTTTTAATTATTCTATGCAGAAGGAGTTGCCTGTGACTGACGGGATGGAATTAAAAAAAGTTAATTAATTCTTTGTTCTATGTCCTAAACCTGTGTCAAGTATCTATGCAACCTGTTGAGATACCTTCTAACCACTATCCATCCAACTTTATAATATTAGTAAGATTTGGTAAACAGAAACTTGTTACCTTTGTCAAAAATATGTAACCTCAAGTCTTACCATGCTTATGCCTTACAAGTTTTTAAAGTTTTGTAAATATATACAAAATTATACAGCTATCTGTACGAGTATATATTCTCGGATAACTCTAATGATTAAATTTTTTCTAATCTAGTTTGTTTTTTTAACAGGGGTCTAATCCTCGGCGCATCAATATCAGCCGGTATATTCGTGTTCCACGTTGCAGTAGTGCCTTTGATATTTAAATACTCGAAAACATTCCGAAGAAGCCTTATTTTTGCTAATTTTGGTGAGTTTTTGAAATACACTTATATGTATAGTAATATTATAAAGAGGAAAGATTTGTATTTTTGTATATATTGGAATAACTCAAAAACTACTTGACCAATTTCAACAATTCTTTCACCATTATCAAGCTGCAATATCAGTGAGTAACATAGGCTATCTTTTTTTACATGGGCGAACACACAAGCAGCAACTAGTTACAAATATGCTTAATAGTGTTAGATAACATTTATTGTACAAATGGGTTATCCAATGTAATACAACAATCATAAACCACAGGTATCATTTCTACAGTGATAGAGCCCACTTTAACATCTTCGCACTGTAGGTCCAGCTCGCCCATTGTAATACCACCTCACACAAGACAGGCGTGAAGTGGGAGCAATTCCGTGTACAACCTGATAAACAACGGTAGATCCAGGGGGGGGTTATGGGGGTCATGAACCCCCCTGAGCTGATTGGTTAAGAACTTGACAAAATATATTTACATATTTTTGATTTGACCACGACTATGTGACCTCCCCCCCTGGCGCCAAAGCTGGATCCACCCTTACTGATAAATGTGGTGCCGGAGGCCTAACTTTATTCTCCTTTCTTTCCCATCCTTTTCTTAAGAGGAAAGGTTGGGAAGGAAAAGTGGATTTGACGGCGGAGACGCATAGGAAGGGGAATCCTATTTATGTGCGTCTCCTTTGTTAATTAAGGGTAGGCAATGCATCTGCACTTGCGGATGTCTATGGGCAGCAGTCGATTTCCATTTTGGTGGATTCAAGTGGTCGCTTGCTGTTTGCCACCTTATAATAAAAAAAGTGCAATTGCAAATGTCTATGGACAATGGTAGTTTCACTATTGTATTGTATTAAAACTGTATTAAGTTTTATTAATAACATCCTAATATAAATAATAATAAGTTTTATACTGAGGTATTAAGATAACACTAGGTACAGTGACCTTTAAGAATGGAATGTTTTTATTGTTCCTAGTATTTTATCTTACTACACAACAGTATTGAAGATAATTATTATAATATCTTGTATAGGAAATAGTAGTTTTGATTGTAACGATCAAAGTTTAAAGATAATCTATAATTATTGCTAATTAGTTAATTTTAAAATATATTTAACTACGAGCTGTTGCCCGCGACTTCGTCCGTGTGGTATTAGAAAACATACGAACTATATAAATAACAAAAAGCTACGTACCCCTCGGGTACCGGACATTTCTCGGGGATGAACCTCATCCCATGTGTACTCCAGACTTTGTTTTATATCTGTGCCAAAATTCAAAAGGATATGTTGAACCGTTGCAGAATGATCGAGTAAACATTAAAAAAACTGAATTAATGAATCCCACAGGAACCGTAACTATTCCTGAGATAAAAAGTACCCTATGTGTTCTTCCAGACTATGCTCTAAACCTGTGCCAAATTTCATGGAGATCCATTCAGCCGTTTAGGCTACAAACGCTAACAAACATCCATCCATCCATCTAAACTTTCGCATTTTTAATATTAGTAAGATTAGTAAGATTATAAATGCGAAAGTTTAGATGGATGTTTGTTAGAGTTTGTAGCCTAAACTGCTGAACGGATCTTGATGAAATTTGGTATAGATGTAGAGGGTAGTCTGGAAGAAAACATAGGCTACTCACTTTTGTTTTTTTTTAATTCCACGCAGGCGAAAGCATGTAATAAAATAACGTTTGATTAATTATTTTGACTAGCTATTCCGTGCGGCTTCATCCACATGTAATTACAAGAAAATATTTTATTGCTTACATTTGTCAAATTCTCAATTGCAAATGTCATTACCATTACCATAATAACCTTGCTTCCTTAATGTTGGCAGCTTGTAGTTTATGGTATCATTCCCACATGAAGTTTTTTTTTACAATTTATTTACCTCCTAAATTTAATAGCGTGAAAATATATAGCTTAAAGCGTGTCATAAGTGTAGGACTTATTGAGCTAGCGCGCTCTATCCATCGGCCGCGTCTTCACTTAGGTTAGGTGAAGTCGTGGTCAAGCGCTGGTTTATTTATGTTAAAAAAAACTTTTAAAGAAAGCAATATACAAAAATATGCTGTAATTGCTGACATCTGCAACAAAGTAGTGTGTGTTTATGCTTTATTATATTAGTATAGATATATGTTGATAAAGTTAGTGAACAGCTATATTATAATGTTACCTTTTTCTTTGTTTCCAGTACAATGGCCGCTAAGTATAGACTTCAACGATCCGTCCTCCAGCGGTATAGATGGGGCGAGAAATTTTTATTTGGAATATCAATCCAAAACCAACAGCTGTCCAGTAAGACTTGGTAAGTAATCTATACTTCTATACTATTATAGTAAAGCGTAAACACACACTTCTTTGTTGCCTAAGATCTCAGCAATTACACCATATTTTTATATAATTCTTTTTTTAATAAAAAGCCCTAAACTTACGTCATGCCTTAGGCTTTATATTTTCACGCCATTTAACATAGGGGGTTAATATTTTGGGGGTTATATTAGTACTAACCGTTCCCGTGCGACTTCATCCGCGTAAAATTATGAAAATTTTATTATACTGTTTACATGAGTCAAATTGTCAAATGACATGACATGATGACAACCTTGCTTCCTTATTGTTGGCAGCAACTTATGGTCTCTTTCCCACATTAGGGTTTTTATCCAAAATATTTACCCCCTAAGTTTAATGACGTGAAAACATATAGCCTAAAGTGTGACGTAAGTGTACGGCTTTTTATTAAATAGAAGAATTATTCAAAAATATGCTGTAATTGCTGACATCTTAGGCAACAAAGAAGTGTGTGTTTACGCGTTATTATAAAAGTATAGAAGTGTAGATAGAAGTATGTTTATGCAGTACTGTAAGCTTTATTCGGATTTTTTATATCGTTTTTGTTTAATAAAATGTTTTATATATTCCAGGTATTTGGCATATATTACCAAAGACTACGTATGAACGTATGAAGGGTAGTTTCGAAGGGGATGATGATGAACAATTAAATGAATTAATGGATGAAGAATTAACGAATTCTAAAACTCCTGTCATATTATATTGCCATGGTAAGAAAATATATTGATAACTAGCTTTATTTAGAATTAAAAAAAAATGTGTAGCCTATGTGTTCTTCCAGACTATCCTCTATATGCCAAATTTCATTGAAAACTGTTCAGCTGTTCAGACTACAAACTCTAACATCCATCCATCCATCCAAACGTTCGCATTTATAATTGTGAAATGTTTCAAGTGAAATGTCAACTATTGTAATTTAAGAATTTTTTTTATAATATAAAGTGGCAAACTCGCAAGCGGTCACCTAAATCCACCGAAATGGAAAGCGACCGCTGCCCATAAACATCCGCAATAGCAGCGCTGCCTACTCTTCATTGACGGAGGAGACGCACATAAAGAGGACATTTCCCCTTCCTATGTGTCTCCGCCGTCATAGCCACTTCTCCTTCCCATCCTCTCCTTATAAGAAAAGGGTGGTAAAAAGAAAGAGACTCAAATTATTCAATGAAATATCTCCTAGCTAAGTTGTTCAATTTTAGGATGGTTAAAATCTTAGTAAACTAGCTCTCGCCCACGACTCCGTCCAAGTGAAATAAAAAAAAACAAAAGTAAATAGCCTATGTGTTCTTCCAGACTATCCTCTACATCTATACCAAATTGCATCGAAATCCGTTTAGCCATTTAGGCTACAAACTAACAAACATCCATCCATCTAAACTTTCACATTTATCATATTAGTAAGATACCCCCCACAGGTAACTCTAATTCCCGCGCCGCTTGGCACAGGATACAGTTGTATAAGTTTTTCCAACAAATGGATTTTCATACGATCGCATTTGATTATAGAGGTAGGAAATTCTTGATTAATGTTAGCTTTCGCCCGCGATTCCGTCCGTGTGTTGATAAAAAAAAATAGCCTATGTCTTCAAGATTATCCTCTACATCTGTACCAAATTTTATCGATATCCGTTCAGTTTACAAACTCTAACAAACATATATGTAACTGTCGCATTTGTAATATTTATTACCTGTTGCTCGTGACTTTCACGTGGAATTATAAAATACTAGTTTTATCCCGCGACTCCGTTCGCGTGGAATTAAAAAAAAATGTGAGTAGCCTATGTGTCCTTCCAAACTATCCTCTACATCTATACCAAATTTCATAGAAATCCGTTCAGCCGTTTTAACTAAAAACTCTAACAAACATCTAAACTTTCGCATTTATAATATTAGTAAGATAGCGTATGTTATTAAGTAATAACATAGCTTTTTAATAGTGAAAGAATTTATAAAATCGACCCAATACTTTTGAATTTTAATGCACACAAAAATCCAAAAAAAAAATCTCTTTATAATATTATTAGTTTCTGCCCGCGACTCCGTCCGCGTGGAATTAAAAATAACAAAAGTAGCCTATGTGTTCTTCCAGATTTTTTACATATATGCCAAATTCCATCGAGATCTTTACAGTTTTGGCTAAAAACTATAACAAACATCCATCCATCTAAACTTTCGCATTTATAATATTAGTAAGATATCTGTCAAGTTTTGTAAATACATCATCCATACAATATCGCTTTTTTACTAGTTTATTAATAAATAGGTTATGGAGATTCTACAAACTTGAATCCAAGTGAAGGGGGTGTGGTTGAGGACTCCCTTATTGTTTACGACTGGCTAGTTACTACGTTGGATAAAAGTGAGGCAAAACCTCCTATATACGTATGGGGACATTCTTTAGGTATAAAATTTAATATATGCTTTTGTTACTAAGTTGGTTTTTTGCATGTTTAATAAGATTGTAACAGACTACAGCCTGAACTAATGAATAGATTTTGACAAATAAGGTGTCATTCGATTCGTCTTCTACCAAAGAGTGTCATAGGGTGTCATTTATTATAACAAAAGAACTACATTTAGCGTGAGAAGTGAAAAACTAAAAAAATATATTGAAAAATGTATGTCGTCAAATCCCTTTCGCCGTATTTTCTATGTAAAGATAGTCGGTTTTTTTTTAATTAAGTTAGTTTTTTTATAACAGTAGAACCTCGATAAGTTAAAATCCAACGAAGCACAAAACATTTTAAGTTATAGAAGTTTTAAGTTATCAAGGGTCTATGTTATAGAGGTTTTAGGCTCTGATGGGAAGGGGACATATTATTTTTTGAAGTTGTAGAGGTTTTTAAGTTACTAAGGTTTGACTTATCGAGGTTCTACTGTAGTACTAGCTTTCGCCCGCGATTCTGTCCGCGTGGAATTAAAAAAATAACAAAAGTGGGTAGACTATGTATTCTTCCAGACTTTCTTCATCTATGACAACCATTGAGACTAGTTTAGGCTACAAACTAACAAACATTTTTTTTTATAACATAAGGTGGCAAACGAGCAAGCGGCCACCTGAATCCGCCAAAATGGCGAAGTGACCGCTGCCCATAGACATCCGCA